CTCTGTCTCTGGTGAAGCCCCTCGCCGCCCCTGAGCCTCTGGCCTGTACCCCAGTCCTGTGTGCATAACTAAGAAATCTTTTTAAAAAAAAAATTAAAAAAAAAAGCACTGCCCCCAGAGAAGCACTCCGGCACTAAAACGAAAACGACTGGCTGACCAACATAAACAGACGCCTCGCCAAATGCACAAAGCACAAGGCCGGTGGCTCCCAGCCCGCACAGCCAGGCTGGTGTTTACTCAGCCCTGAAGCCTCGGCAGGCGCGGCGGCTACTCGGCGCTCCCCGAGACACGTCTCTGCACTGTTTCAGACGAGGGACTGGGAAATGGGGCAGCGGCTCGCGGGCCGCCTCCTGGCGAGGACGCCGTGACGCCTCCATCTGACGGGCTCTCTCAGACAACGGCTTGGAGTAAAGGCACGAACGTCTCCCTAAGCCTGCAGCGGGGCGGGAACACACGAGAGGCGCGCGGCCAAGACCCGCACGGCGCTTCTTTAACTCGCTCCGCTGACAGTGGACCCGGGCGCGGGTAGGGTGGCGGGCAGGGCCTCTTCCCGACTCTCGTCCCGATCGGTCACCCGGGTACCCTGACATTCCAACACCCCTGACCTGGCTGCTGAAATAAAATCAAGTTGCAAGTAAACTGTGAGTCCGGACGATAGCTGGAAAGCTGTAATTTGCAGGCATTTTACTGGCTTCCTAAGTCTCCGTTGGGGTTACACGTGGTGACCTCACCCGGATCGGCCGTCAGAAAGACCTAGAGCAACCACGGGCGTGAGCGCCGGGCTGCGGGGAAGAGCGGCTTTGCACACCCGCCCTGGCCTCCCGTAACGCGCGCGGCCGCCTTGATTTACACCGCGGGACGGCGCGATGGGGCTCCGGGGTCTCGAAAGCACATTTGTTTTTTAAGAGAAGCAGCCTGGAGCTGTTTGGTTATTTTTTTGAAGTCTTTGAAGTTCCACGTCTCTGTGACTTCTTTTAAAAACAGATGTAGCTTTTTAAAAACAGATACACATTTCACATTTTCTGTACTTTCCTCCTTCCTGCATAGCTGATTAGCTCGGGAAAGTTGTCAAAATTTTAAATTAACATTAGATCACGAATATCGAGAGATATTAGCAGGAAATAATCTTTTTTTTTTTTTTTAAAGATTTATTTGTGCATACAGAACTGGGGTACAGGCCAGAGGCTCAGGGATGGTGAGAGGCTTCACCAGAGACAGAGTGGGGAACAGAACAGGCAGATCGACGAAGTACACTGCTGAGGGGAGCAGCGGGCGGGTCAGGAGAGATCTGCCACGCCATGTGGTCACCTCCGGGGCAGGCGGGAATCGAGCTCATGCAGAAACGGCTTTAGATTCTCAGTGCTGTGCATTAACCCACTGCGCCACCAGGGAGGGCCGGAAATAATCTTTTAACTTTCCATTTGGTATAAATAAAGTATCAATTAAGTCGAGTTTATGAGGAAGCGGATGCAATGTTTGCAAGGACAAATGTTCTTCAAAACCAAGAGAGCATCACCAAAAGACAGTGCGGTGCCCTCCTGCGTAGGCACAAGAGAAAGGAACACAGGTGTCCACACAGAGTGTACCTGCGGCCCTGTTCACAAAACCGAGCGAGAGGAACCACCCAAAGATCACTCAACTGACTGCAAGCAAAGCGCAGCTGATCCACACCGCGCAATGGCGCTCAGCTGGGAGAGGGGGTGGGCTTGGAATGGCCTGAATGGGAGAGGCCAGACACAGAAGACAGGTGGCACTGACCCAGCCTGTCCCACAGGAGAACAGCCCGGCTACTGCGGCAGAGAGCCACTGGAGACGGCCGCTTCCCGGGTGACGGAGGCCCCGTGTGGGAGCTGTGAGGCCCGTGAGCTCCAGCTCATGCCAACACCACCCAGCGGCACGTCAGACTCCAGCCCTAGGGACAAAAGAGCTGAGCTGCGTGAGGGCAGGTGCCCAGCGCAGGCGAGGCGGCATTTGCCAGTTAGCTGCCTGCCAAGGCAAAGTCCCGACAGTGCGCAGGGGGCAACGCAGGACCCAGTCTCCACAGCCCGCGCTGTTTGCACGGGCCCTGGCAAGCCCTCGCCGCGGCGAACTTCAGAGGTAACTAGTGTAACTCATGAACTGATCTTTGGGGTCTGCTTTAAATTTAGCAAGTGCAAGTTTTTAAAAGAAATCAGGTCCTGGAAAAGTTTCGAGAGTGCTGGAAACCAAGGTGTGTCTGACTCTGGCATTATAAAAGTAGCTGTAAATTGTATGGCTCTACCTACTGAAGTCTGCTGAGGTGTAAAGTGCCTGCCGGGTTTTGGAGACTCAGAACATAGAAGAAGATATAAAATGTCTTCGTTTTTAATTAATTAATTTTAAAATTAATTCCACCTATTTTTTTGTAGTTTTAAAATCTTTGAATGACACACGTGGCTCACATCACACTTCTCCTGGGCAGCACTGCACGGGGATTATTGGACAGCTGGACAGGCACGTTACCTAGCTATTCTCACTACGAAGAGTCAGGGAATGTGCCCTCCCTCAGTGGGCATCAGTGCGGCAGGTCGGCCGTGAGACGACCCACGTCAGTTATCGGACGAAGACGATACAGGAGTCACTCTAAGCCTGCTCGCTGAGTCAAAGAAACACGCTCAAACCTGAGGGTACAAGCAAGCGCGAAATGTCAGCAGGTAAGAATTATTTTAAAAGAACCAAACGGGCCCTCCTGGTGGCACAAGGGGTTAAGTCTCGGCACTATGAAGCTGTCCGCAGCCCCAGCAGCACGAGTTCAATTCCCGGCCAGGGAGCGACCCAGGGCGCAGCGGGCTCCCTCAGCTCCCCTCGGCAGTGGATTCCAGTCCATCCGCTGCTCCCCACTCTGTCTCTGGGGAATCCTCCCGCACCCACACCTCTGGCCTGTGCCCCCATTCTTGTCTGCATAAACAAACAAATCTTAAAAAAAAAAAAAAAAGAACCAAATGGAAATTCAAAAACTGAAGAATGTAACAGCTAAAACTACCAGTTCGCTGAGCAGGCGTAACAACAGAGGGGGCTGCCGAGAACGAGCCAGGGAGCCCGAAGCGGATCAGGAGCTGCTACTCGCCGTGAAACAGGGAGAAGAGGTCTGCAGAGGACAGCGCCCCAGGGTCTGCGAAGCCCCAAAGTGTCTCCGAGAGGAGAGACTGGGTGGGAATGCTGGGAGGAACAGTGGCTGCCAAGTCCCAAACTCCACACAAGCAAAAAGGAGAGGAAACCTCAAACAGCACCATGGTGTCAGCGGCGGCGGCCGGCCTGGCCTCGGACCTCGGACGCCCACGTCGCTGGCCGGCGGCCTGGCGCACAGGTCCCGGTGTCCGAAGCCAGTGGGCTGGGCTGGGGCCTCCAGCCAGCTCTAGAACAAGGGGCTTCTACGTGCGGAGAGCAGCGGCGGTCAGACCGGCCACAGGCTCACGGGGCAGCGAGGGGACAACTCGCACTCGTCCCCGCGGCGGAGGCGAACCCGGGGCTGCGGCTGCAGGCACGGCTCCTGCGCCCCTCGCGCTCGGCGCTCCGGTGACTGGGCTCGCTCGGGGCTGTGCCTTCCCGCTGACCGTGAGCCTCTGCAAGGCCCCGAAACGCCAACTTCTGCCGGGGTGACCCTCCCCTCAGAGTCAGCGCCCGCAGCTTTGCCAACGGCTGGACGGGGTCGAACTCTTTTATCTCTTTGGGACTCGGCTCCTCGCTTCCCTGAGGAAAGGTCACGCCAAGCCGGGGGTCGCGCTCTCGCACGTCCAGTCTCTCTGCTGCAGCCCCTTCCCGCCAGTGCCCCGGGGAGTCAAAGCTTCAGCGCCCCAGCTCCCGAAAGCCGCCTGGGAGTAGCACCCCGCCTGTGGAGCCAGCTCTCCCTCCCCGACGCCAGCCCACGTCCGCCCTGGCCACCACCTCCCGAGTCTCCCTGGACCGGAGCCCGAGCGGCTGGGCGGCAGCTGGACCCCAGCCCCGGGTCTGGGCCGAACACGAAGCAGGACCCAAGGTGCAAAGGCCGGTGCCGGCCTGCTCACGTGCGAGCGCGCCAGGCGCAGAGCAGGACCCGAGGCCGCGCCCGCTGCCCCGGCTGCCAGAGCGGGGACGCGGCTGAGGGGCCCGGGCGGGCCCGGGCTGCCCCGCGTCCTCGCACTTGTCCCCAGCGTCGCGACGGGCTGTACCTGGGCCAGCACACCCTGGAACTGTTCCCTCGTGAGCGGCAGCAGGAAGGTGGCGACCAGCCTCCGGAGCTCACTCTTGGACACAGTCATGCTGTGATCGGCATCGAGCAGCTGAAAGGCTCTCCTCAGCTCATCCCCTTTGTCGGTGATTTTTTGAAATAAAATCCGTTTAACGTCTAAGGAGGACAGTACTGGATTTGGAACCGCGGTGGCTGCAAGAGAGACACGGCCATTCGTTAACGGTGCTTAGGGCCGAGGCGCCGCGACCCCTTCACCGAGGTCTCGACTCAAGCCAATCGCAAACGGCCTCTCTGAGGAGCCCCGTCCCCGCGAGTCGAGCCAAGCCATTCCTCAGCTCGGAGACGTGGCCAGCATCAAGTAGCCGTAACAGAACCCTGAGGAGGGGCCGCGCAGCGCGGACCTCGGAAGCATCGCGTGTCAGCGGCTGGGCTCCAGGAAAATTCAGAAGGAGCAATGAGCCTTCCGGTAAACCCGAGGCTGCCTCGCCCCCCGCCGCGCCAGTGTGCCAGAGGACGCTATGCCACCCTCAAGTCTCGATCAGTTCACTTTCAAAGCAAGGAAGGCGAGAACCCTCTGGGCGCTGAAGGTGGCGGGGGGCTTGGTAAAGCACCCCAAACATGTTGGAGGGCGGCTGCAAAGCTTCCTGTGTAGCGTCCCCCCGCCTTCGGAGGGCAGCGGACACGCTCAGGCCCCCCCACCCCGTCTCAGGTGAAACAGCGGCAGGACCCAGTAAACGCGAAAGCTGCAGACCGACTCCGACCAGTATCACAGGCCTGGAGGTGGCTGTTGGTTTTACAGTTCATAAACACTGGGGAGGCTGCATCTGCACCTCCATTCATCTGTGGGGCCGCAAGGGCGAGCTGGCCACACCTACTCCGTAGGTCAGTTCTGGATCCTGTTAAACGCCTTTACCACGGTCTCGTTTTTTATCAAAATATTCACCAGCAGGAGCTTGGGAAGCGCGGTTAGCTACGTCCCTTCACACGAGACTTACCAAGCTGAGCCTCCCCTGCTGAGGGACGGTGGCTTTAGTCTTGGGTTGACCTGGGCCAGATGCCAGGTTCCCAGTGCCAACCTGTACCTACCCAGCGGCATGTAGGGCTTCCCCACTGCTGCGGGGGCCCTGCGAGGCGGTCGGAGACCCGGGCGGCATCCCCAATCTCACCGCTGTCCCCCAAGCTCGTCCCGAGGAAGCCCCGCGGCTCCCTGTCCACTGCCGACCAGCCCTCGAGGCTCGGGGCAGCTGACTCCCAGAGAGGAGCTGCGGACCCAGCGCCGGCCTGTGGGGGCCACGTCCGCCCGCCCCACCGGCGGGCAGCCCCCGCCTGCTCCCAGCGAGAGAGGGCAGCTGCTTCTTGTTCGCTTGTGTCTGCATCTGGAACTCTTCCTCAGACTTCCGCGTGTCCTCAGCGGCTCTCCACGAGCCCCATCCTCGCCTCCGTCACTCTAACTTCACAGTACCTGAAAATATTGACTTGAGACGGCATGAAGTGACCCGAAGGACAACTTCTCGCTTCACGGGCCTCCGGCAACATCCGGGATTTCAGGGAAAGCACTGAGCCAGCCCGTAACCTGCTCGTGGGAGGGTAAATTGGGTGCGTCTTTCTGGAGGGCAATTTGACAAAATTCCCCACATCCGTTCAGGATACAGAAAGTCACAACAGACTGTCACTCTCGCCCTCGTGATGAGAACAAGTAGGGTAAGCTAAGGAAGACGGTGTTTTCTCAGCCCACCAGGGAGCTGAGGATGCGGAGACACTCACTTGGGGAAAGGACAAGCCAGCCGGCCCAGAGGAGAGCCCGCCCGCAGGCCGGAGGGGGAGGCAAAGCAGGGCTGGCCCGGGGTGGGGGCGTGCACCACGCGGGGAACCCCCGAGCCCTGGGCACAGAGCAGGTGTGCAGGGGCACCCGAGCGGGGCTGCGAGCTGCCCGGGCACCAGGCAGAAGCGCTCCCACGCAAGGGTCTCCCTCGTGGCCCTCTGCGTGGCGGGTGGCGCCCTCAGGCGCTCTGGCCAGCGCTGCCTCTCCCCAAGGAAGTTCCGGCCCCCCAGCCGGCGGGGCCCTCGGCCAGGCCCTTCTCTCCATCCACCTCTCTGCGCCCGGTTTCTGGGTCAGCCCTGGTCGCGAATTAGAGAGCGAGCGTGTGGAGGGCGTGAGGGGCGGAGGGGGACAGAGGGAAAGACACGCTCGGGGCAAGTCAGAACGCCAGACACGTCGCTGCTTCGGAGCCGCGCGGCTCAAGTGGAAAACGTGTCCACACAAAACCAAGTGCCAACGTTTGCCACGGCTCTGCTGCCGTCACCAAGGCGTCGGCGCGACAGAGAAGCCCCTCAGTGAGAAGACAAACCCGCTGCGCTCCAGCAGCGGACGTTACTGAAGACAAGAAGAAAGGGACGATCCCACCGCGAGAAGACATCGGGCGCCATCAGCGGGTACCGCCAGCGGCCTGAGGAGGCGCTACCGGGCCGTTCCCACTGCACGCCACTCGGGCGGGGCAGAGCAAGGTGGGCACAGGGGGTTCAGGACAGGAGACTGTCCCGGGGCGGCACGGAGGACCCGCATCCCACCTGAGAACCCCGAGAACCGCGGCCCGGAGAGCCCCAGGAGCCGGAGACCCCGCGGCCACCCCCGGCCCACGGCTGCAGCAAACGCAAAGCGAGGCGACGGCGGAGGGGCCTGGGAGCCGTCTCCCGTCATCCCGGGGCCGGCTCTCGGTAAGGGGCCTGGCTGAGGCGGTGCCCAGGTAACGCGGCTGCTCAGCACGACGCCCGAGCACCGGCCTTGCTCAGGCGCCGGCCCCGCCAACTTAAAACGGTGCCACCGCGGGCTAAGGGTCGAGTCAACCCACTCTCAGGCGCCCACAGGAAAGCGGGCGCAGCCCCATACTCTCCCCGGGGACGCGCCCACAGAGGCTGGCGACTACTCACTCGAGGAACAAGGTCTGGACACGCCGCTCGAACCATTCCTCGAGTGCACTTGACAGGGCGAAGAGTGGGGCCTCACGCCTGCGGCCTTCTGTGCGTGGGGGCACAGAGCCCGCCAGTCGGGCGCGGCAGCCACTCGGCACATTAAGTCCCTGCGGAGCGGAAGAAAACGGATTCGGTTACCTTCGAGCTGAGCGGGCCTGTGGCAACACTGCCAGGGACGAAAATGTCGCCACGGTGACCTTCCTGCCGTGTTTCAAGGCTGTCCCTAAAGTGAGCACCGAATCGCTACTCTCACTAGCAGACCCCAAAATCCTCAGAGTGGGGAGAGAGGGTGCGCCGGGCAAGACAAGCCGCCCGCATCCGGGGCACCGGGCTCGCGCCTCTGGCACGCAGGGCGGCCGCTGGCTCCGGCCGCTCCTGAAGCGCCTCCCTGCAGCCAGCGGGAGGCAGAGCCACCGGCGGGACGTGCCCACAGCCACCAGCACCAGCCTCCTCAGGAGCTCGGCGTCGGCCCAGCCCACGGCCCGCACAGGCTGGGGGCGCTCACGGGAAGGGGTGGGGTCTCGGGGTGAGCAAGCTTGTTTACGCCGACGAGGACTAAAATAAACAGAAACGCACCTAGAACAGCCTCGACACGCACGAAGCAGGGGACGACGGGAGCTGGCACAGCGCCGGCACGCGCAGGCACCGCCGCCTACACTTCGGATGGACAGACGGAGGGGTGACAGGGACACGGAGACTCGGACGACGCTGGCTGGCTCTGCGCCTCCCTGTGGCGCGGGGAGACGTGTTCAGCACTGTCAAGCGTCCCAGCCACCGCGGTCTGACCCCGGCCAGGGAGCGACCCCCAGGGCGCGGCAGACCCCCTGACCCCCCGCTGCCCCCTCGGCAGTGGGCTTCGTCCATCCGCCTGTTCTGCTCCCCGCTGTCTCTGGGGAACCCCCTCACCCCGCACCTCCGGCCTGGACCCGGCTCTTGTATATACATAAATAAATAAAAGTAAAATCTACAAAGAACTGGCCCTAACGGGCGGCTGGGGACAGCCCACCTGGCGGCAGAACGGCCTCCACCCCGGGACGTTGTCCTGCATCGAGCACTTGCAAGGACACAAAACCAGACTCAGTGAATCAACAAAAATGGAAACCATCAAAACATATTCCCCAACCATACTGGAGCGAAATCAGAACGCATGAGAAGAGCGGGCTATTCACAAATGTGTGAAAAGCATCCAACATACCCCCAAATAAACCGTAAGTCAAAAAAAAATCACAAGAAAAACTGGCAAGTTCTTTTCAGACAAATGAGAACGAAAGCACAACACACCACAGGGCAGGGGACGGCTGATGCCCTGCTCGGAAGGAAACCGACCCGGGCAGTGCCCACGCGAACGCAGAGCGTCGGCACCGCGGTTTAAACACCGGCACAACAGAGAGGAAACTCCCAGCGAGCGCAGTGGTCCAAGCTCCCTCCTGAGAAGCCAGGAAAAGCGCCCGCAAGCCACCGTGGGCACAGTGAAACCGGAGCAGCTAAATGAAGCGGACGTGAAGACAGCCGCAGGCAGAGAAAAGC